CAGAGCGTGTTTAGGAGAGCCGGTGCGAGAGTTTCAATAGCCACCGCCTATCACCCACAGTCGAACTCCCTAGTAGAGAGGGGACACCAGACTCTGATAGCGTCACTGTCCAAGTGGTGCAAGGGTAAGGACAATGATTGGCCATGATATTTTCGATACGCAATATGGGCGGACAACGTCACGGTCCGGGCTAAAACCGGATACCCACCGTACACCTTGTGGTTTGGGCGACATTGTCAGCTTCCCATTGAGTTTCACGTCGACAGTTGGACAACCGTCGACTGGGCAGAGGAGATGTCCAGAGAGGAACTCTTAGCTGCTTGAACAAGACAGATAGCCTACGGGTTGGAAGATAACCTTATGACAGCAGCCGATCGTCTGGCAGTGGAAAGGGACAAGGGTAAAGAGAGATGGGATAGGAACGTGCAGATCAGGAAGGAGAGGGTGAGAGTAGGAGACATGGTCCTTCTCTACGATGCAGCGCTGGAAAGAACCTGGACCGGAAAGCTTGCCAATAGATGGATGGGACCTTACAGAGTGGTTGAGGCACTTGACTGGGGAGCATATATGATAGCAGAACTAGACGGACCTAAGTGGAAGGACCTAGTGGCGGGGGCTAGGTTAAAGCTGTTTAGGCCCAGGCCCGCACCCGTTTTAACGCTAACCAGCCCGAAAGGGAAAGGGAAAGCCATGATGGAGGATGGAGCCCCCTTGAGGCGATTCGAGGCAGGGGAGAGTTCTAAGAAAAGGAAAAGAATAGAGAAGAGAAAGGTCAAAGGGTTAGCTTTAGGAAAAGAGAAGAGATGGTTATTCGTACTCAAGCGAGCTAAACGGAGAGTTCGCGTTAGACGTACTGGCGGGTCGACACCCTTCTCGAGGCAAAGACAGAAGAGAAAGAGAATCGTGCTGGGGCCAAAAACCAAGAGAGACAGGAGAGTCAAGAAGCATCTTCTTAGCCCCAGGGCTCATAACAAACTGAAGCATAAGACAATTGAACGCCGACGTGGGCGACCTTTACAGGCCATCACCCTGAAGCACATCCGCTTCGTCTGACGGAAGTTGCTAGGGCTCGA